TCATAAACCTCGTGGTTAGGGTGGGGCCAAAATGGCCGACCAAAGTTTTTATAGGAATATATATGGAAACCTTTTAAAATCTTCTTTTCAAGTACTTCAAAGCCATGATTAGCGATATTTATATGGAATCTTCCTCAGGTAGTGTAGATTCAAGTTTGTTCAAATCATGACACCCTGGGGGTTAAAACCTGTCTTTAAGATTCCAATAGATTTTGGGCAAAATCCCCCCCCCCCCCCCCCCCCCCCCCCCCCGGACTGTAAAAAATGTATCACACTATATCTCATAAATACCGCTTTAGTAAACTTTCAGTTCTGATCTGATATGTGCTTTTTCCTAGCCTATGTTCTCAGGTGAGCGTTGTGGCCCCTGGGCCTCTTGTTTCACTTCTGGATTATTGAACACATAAGGATAGATTGTTTTTATATTTCCCCTCAATCTTTTAATACGTGACTTTAACATGGATCTGATACATTTAATGCATTTTGACAAGGTGTCAACGTCTTCTTTTTCATATCTGGAAATTTTCGCTAGCACACAGTCTCGCGTAATTACACGAAAATAAAGTTCTCGTGAATAAAAAGTGATTTACAGTATGAGAGATAGAGTTAGAGAGTTCCCGCTTCTGTAAAACACGTATTTCAACGAAGTTGTCAATAATCATTAATTCATCATGTTTATTGGAGTTACCATAACACATGTATCGGTCGAACATGTGCTTAATCGGTGTTGATGTAGACTGTCAATTTGATTGGCTATTATATTTATGGAATACCGGTTCTACAGGTATTCGAATGAGCCATTTGACCGATTTTTCTTTTCTAAAGAAATGGGCGTGTCATTGTATGGCAATCATCATTCTAAAGATAGCTCAAAACGTTCCAGTCAAACGGAAAATTTTACCACTCCAGTGCGCTTCATTGTAATATGGCACAGAAACAGCTTACACTAAGATGCATAAACTGATGCATCAATTTTTGATTTGGATGAATGGAGTTGCCTTGATTACTAAAAATAGAAATTTCTATGAAATTCCTTTAAAATGCTGCTCCTCTTACAGTTTTGGTCTGATTTCAATATTACCTGGCACAAATGTAGACTACACTTGCATACATAAATCAAAGCATAAAATTTTGATTTTGATGAATGTTGTTGCCATGGTTATTTAAAATAGAAATATTTTTAAAATTCCTTGAAAAGTCAATTCCTTGTTAATGACATCTGGTTTTTAGCTCTTCTGAGCCAAAGGCTCAAAGAGCTAACGCTATGGCCATTTGTGCGGTGTGCGTAAACTTTTTAGAATATGGACCATAATTCAAGAACCCCTTAGCCAATCAGTGTCAAATTTGTCAAAGGGTATCCTTGGCCCAAGGGCTACCATTTACACTAAAATAAGGGTTAGTACCCTTAAACAAGGGGAGATAGAATACAAAACCAAAAGTACTGGTTGCTAAAAAATCTTCTTCTCCATAACCACCAGGCAGATTTTCACCAAACTTATATACAAGGATCAGGATATGTCGAAGATTAAAATTTGCACGGGGAATTACCCTGGGGCAAAGGGCGTGGTCTCAAGGTCACTGTATTGCCTCTTCCAAAATTGTGAATTTTATGGCCCCAGGGTCAGGGGTTCTAGTGTTAGGGTGGGGCTCTATTGATTATACATGTATAGTGAAAATGCATTAATTGTTTGAAAATCTTCTTCTCTGCTCCTGGGTATTAATCTAACTAAGTAAATAGTTATGATTAGCAAGATTGCCTCTTCCAAAATTGTGAATTTTATGGCCCCAGGGTCAGGGGTTCTGGTGTTAGGGTGGGGCTCTATTGATTATATAGTGAAAATGCATTAATTGTTTGAAAATCTTCTTCTCTGCTCCTGGGCATTAAATAAACTAACTAAGTATATAGTTATGATGAGCAAGAATGCCTCTTTCAAAATTGTGAATTTTATGGCCCCAGGGTCAGGGGTTCTGGTGTTAGGGTGGGGCTCTATTGATCATAGTGAAAATATGTGATCTTCGAAAACCTTCTCTGCTCCAGGGTATTAAGCAGATGAACTACCATTATAGCTATTATGAGCAAGGGCCCTTCTTCCAGAATTGTGAATTTCAAGGCTCCTGGATCAGGGGTACCATAGAGGGGGGGCTCTACTTTTATTCTGAAAATGAATTAATTGTATGAAATTTGCTCCTTGGTATTAATCAAACATTTTTGATAAGCAAGGGTGCCTTTTCCAAAATTGTGACATTTGTGGACTTAGGGTCAGGGGTTCATGTGTGGTATGGGGCACTACTGATTATTGCTGAATATTACTGATTAGTTGAAATGCATTTTTCTCCTCTACCCTGCCTATGGGTATTAAGTAACCAAACTAAGCAATTGCTAAGTGTATAGTTATGATGCGCAATGGTGCCTTTTTCAAAATTGTGAATGCCATAGTGTCTAGTTTAAAACATGAACCAAACTTAATCGTATGAAAGTTGTTGCATGATGCTCAGGTGACCTGTAAGGCCCATGGGCCTCTTGTTGAATTTTATGACAAATCCCTTCTAAAACATTTAATCCCATTATTTCAGACACTGAGAAGTTTAGAATCATCAAATCTTGTAAGTTGATGCATCTTGGGACCTTAAAATGTGTTTATGAAAAAGTAGGTCACGGTGACCTACTTTTTGAATTTTGCAAGCATTTGTTTTCAAAATGTTTCAAATATTTGAATACCTTCAGACGTACGATCATCAAATTTTGTCAGTAGATGCATCTTGGGACTTCCAAAAACGTCGACCAAAATGTAGGTCACGATGACCTACTTTCGACATTTTATGGCTATATTTAAGTATCTTAGGTATTTATTGGCTTAGAATCATCAAACTATGTGAGTTGATGCATCTTGGGTTTTCAGAGAATGACGACTAAAAAGTAGGTCACTGTGACCGACTTTTTACATTTTATGGGTTTATTTAAGTATCTCTGGTAGTTATTGGCTTAGAATCATCAAACCTGGTCAGTTGATGCATCTTGGGTTTTTGGAGAATGACATCCAAAAAGTAGGTCACGGTGACCTACTTTGACTTTTTATGGCTTTAATTAAGAATCTCTGGTACTTATTGGCTTTGAATTATCAAACTTGGTCAGTTGATGCATCTTGGGTTTTCGGAGAATGTCGACCAAAAAGAAGGTCATGGTGACCTACTTTTGAATATCTCGGGTACTTATTGGCTTAGAATCATCAAACTTTGTCAGTTAATGTATCTTGTGTCTTTGAAAATCATCTACTAAAAAGTGGGTCATCGTGACCTACTTTTGACATTTTATGGCTATATTTAAGTATCTCAAGTACTTATCGGCTTAGAATAATCAAACTTTGTCAGTTGATGCATTTTGGGTTTTCCAAGAATGTAGACAAAAAAATAGGTCACGGTGGCCTTCTTTTGACATTTTATGGCTATATCTAAGTATCAAACTTGGTACTTATTGGCTTAGAATCATCAAACTTTGTCAGTTGATGCATCTTGGGTTTTCGGGGAATGCAAACCAAAAATTACATCACTTGACCTACTTTTGACATTTTATGGCTATATTTTCTTATCTCGAGTACTAATTGACCTAGAATTGATAAACTTTGTCAGTTGGGGCGTCTTTGGTTTTCAGAGAATGTCGAACAAGAAGTAGGTCATAGTGACCTACTTTTGAATATCTCAGGTACTTATTGGCTTAGAATCATCAAACTTTGTCAGTTGATGTATCTTGGGTTTTCGAAATTCGTCTAGTAAAAATTAGGTCACAGTGACTTACCTGTGATTTGTTATGGCTATATTTAAGTATCTTGGGTACTCATTGGCTTAGAATCAGCAAACTTTGTCAGTTGATGCATCTGGTTTTCAGGGAATGTAGACAAAAAAGTAGGTCACAGTGACCTACTTTTAAATATCTCGAATACTTATTGGCTTAGAATCTTCAATCTTTGTGTATTAATGCATCTTGAGTCCTCAGAAAACTTCAAGCTTAAATAGGTCACTGTGACCTACTTATGGTTTTTTAGCTCACCTGAGCCGAAGGCTCAAGTGAGCTTTTCTGATCACATTTTGTCCGGCGTCTGTGTGTCCAGCTGTCTGTCTGTCCGTCTGTCTGTAAACTTTTCACATTTTCATCTTCATCTCAAGAACCGCTGGGCCAATTTCAACCAAACTTGCCACAAAGCATCCTTGGGTGAAGGGGATTCAAGTTTGTTCAAATTAAGGGCCACGTCCTCATTCAAGGGGAGATAATTGGGAATTAATGAAAATTTGCTGGTATGCTTTAAAAATCTTCTTCTCAAGAACCACTGTGCCAGGAAAGATGAAACTTATGGGAAAACATCCTCAGGTTGTGTAGATTCAAATTTGTTTGAATCATGACCCCGGGGGGTAGGGCAGGGCCACAATGGCTGACCAAAGTTTTACATAGAAATACATAGGAAAATTCTTTAAGAATCTTCTTCTAAAGAATAGCAAAGCCATAATTGATCATATTTATATGGAAGCATCCTCAGGTAGTGTAGATTCAAGTTTGTTCAAATCATGACCCCCGGGGTAGGGCGGGGCCACAGTGGCGGATCAAAGTTTTACATAGAAATATATAGGAAAATTTTTTAAAAATCATCTTCTTGAGAATCGCAAAGCCATGATTGGTCATGGGACTACTTTTGGATTTAAACTTTTCAATAATAAACTAATTTCTACTTTTTCCTAGCCACAGTGCTCAGGTGAGCGATGTGGCCCATGGGCCTCTTGTTATAGGTTTATTAAAATATCTTCAGTTCTAATTGCCTAAGAATCATCAAACTTTGTCAGTAGATGCAACTTGGGTCTTACGATACTTAGAGTTAGAGGCATCAAATAGAAGTGATAGATTGTACAATTTATCAGAAGAGCGATTCAAGGCCCTTGGGCCTCTTGTTATTTGTATAATGGTTTTGTTGAAAAGTTCTTAAAATATAATGTTGATAATTTTTAAAAGGATTCCTTTCAAAAGATCCTACAGGAGTTGTCGTTGAGATTGTTTATGGACCAACGATTACATGAGAAGCGGCGGGTGCTGCAGATGTATTGCCTTGTATGCAGACTCCTACTTCAGGACTTTGATGGTGGATTGGGTGGTTGCTTTGTCTACATATTCAGAGAAATTCTCTATCGTCTAGTTTATCTGATACAAGAAATGAGGAAACAGGAATGGTAAAATTTTATATCTTCATCAGTTATCATTGTACCAGAGTAGATAAATACATGTATAATACAAGTTGTTCAAACTGGATATACCCATTCCATGAAAATTATACCATATCAGACAGAATCTGGAGGTCTGTACTCCTGTGTGTTAAACAAACAAACTTAATGTAGAGTTATGATAAGGGAGGGTGCCTCATCCAAAATTGTGAATTTCATGCCCACTGGTTCAAGGTTTGGGTGTTAAGGTTGGGCTCTATTCCTTACATAGCGAAAATGCATTAATTCATTGAAAACTTTTCTGCTCCTGGTTATTAAACACACTAACTACATACATAGTTATGATGAGCAAGGATACCTCTTTTTAAATTTTGAATTTATGACCTTAGGGTCGCGGTTCTGGAGTTATGGTGGGGCTCTGTAATCTGATTATATAGTAAAAATGCGTTAATTCTTGAGAATCATCTCTGAGGGTTCTCCATGGTCCCATTTACATGGTTTGAAATTGCATTTGCACCATCAGTCAAACACATCTATCGTAATCATGGGATTTTGTAATGTTGAAAAATTAACAATAAAACCACCAAACTGATTTTATGACTCGGTCTAAACAGCTCAAGTATTTTTTTTTTTATTCACAAGTGTTAAGATATTTTACTCTTCATACTGATGATTGAAAATATAGATGTTAGCATGATTGTGTGACTACTTACCAAAATTTCCTTCGTCCTTTAATGAACACTATATAATTAATTCTTTTTACACTTTATTTATTCAATATTGATTTATTATGTTCCCCAAACGAAGTTGGGGAACATATTGTTTTTACTCTGTTTCTTATTAAGGTCTTCCGTCTTCACGGAAGACCTTATAGTGATTCTACTGTTTCTTATTATTATTATTAATTTTTTTGACAAAAATTTGTGCAGGCGATTTCTCGAAAACTATTCGGCGGTTTTCGATGAAACTTTCACATAATATGAGTCATAAAATGATCTTTGTTCATCATAAACAAAATTTGGAAAATTCGCTTCTGGTGCCAAGTTATGGACAATTTCCTGATTTTAAAATGCGATTTTGTCGCGCACTTTTATCGAAAATGGCTGAGGATATGAACTGGAGACTTATTACAGATGATAGATCATGACTTTGTGGTTTGCAGAATTGCTTTTTCGTGCGTCGTCAGTACTTCCGGTCGTTACGAAATGCAAATTTTAAAAAAAAATCGTTTTTTCTAACTTTTTTGTTTTTCAACATTTTTCATTTATTTTTGGTATTTTAACAGAAACCCTTCTTATTATGCTTACCATATAATTTGTTTGAATGCTGAAAAATCTAAACTTTAGATATAAGCATTCAAAAATCTGAAGCGGGTCAAAAATGGCGGCTGTCTCTGTCAACGCCGACATTTCGCAATAGGGGTTTACAGAGGCAGCCGAGCGTTTGCTTGAACGAAAGTAACATTAGGATAAATGAAATGTAAAGGAATTCTTGGATTGTCACGTCGTAGTTACGTTGCAGTTCTGTGTCAAACTAACGTCTTCTTTAATTGGTTTTGGCTGGTTCTCAAAGTAGAAAAAGAAAAGACTAAATGTGCAAATGAAATTCGATACCGAATATTCTTGTACACCACGAAAAAAAAGATCTTAAATCATACTTATAAATAATACTTTCTCAAAAAGAAAATCAATTATACCAGTATCAATATCAAGTTTAAATCCTAACCACTGCTTTTTATGCACACTTGTGTCATATTAAACTTATAAATAAGAAAAAAATAATAAGAGAGTGATTTTTTTAAAGATCGCTTCATGTATTTTATTTTAGCATTTTGGTGTCAAAGACCTGATTCAAGTTATTGAGCATAAATGATATCTGATTCCTTGACCGTCGTACCTGTAAGGCGAGCCATGTTTTTCGGCGAAACGTTTCAACCTTTTTTTCGATGAACTAATCGGGATAGTTCACTTTGGGGAAAAACAAGAAATTGAAAAAAAAGTTAAAAATTTATAACCGTTTCATCGCTTTACATGCATATATACAAAATGAAATTTGTATTTGTGTTAAATATACTTTCTAAACTTCGAAACGTAGGCTATGAGAACGTTCTTTTTTTAAATTTCATTGTAGCTATCACACCGGTTTAAGGGACTCCGACCCTCAGCTAGGAAGGACAACTCTTTAATCTATAATTTAATTCAAAAAGTCTTTAAATGAAGCTTGAGAATTAAATCTTTTCATGCAACAATTTTCATTATATGCCTCTCAATGATAATAATAATAATAAAATAATTTTTATAGGGTTAATAGAGACTCTTAAATGAATGCGAAATGTGTAATTTGTTTTAGAATTAAAGAAGCTAATCTCAAGAAATTCGCATTTAAAAATTTGAAGCGGTGTTCCTGATGGCGTAATGGTTAGCGCGTTGGCTTTTCACGCGGGCGACCCGGGTTCGATCCCCCGTGTGACCGATATTTTTTTACGACTTTTTCAGCTAGATTTTTCGTTTTTTTATTTCAGAATCGGACGGAAGACCTCTCGTTGCTTGCAACGAGATCGTTTCTAGTTATTATTATTATTATTATTTTTCTTCTCGGGAAAATTTTGTCCGCGAATGATCTTGTAAAGTACACATCCGATTAAGGGGAAACCTTTTTAGGGTAAGTAGGCATGTTATGTAGATTTGCGGAATCAAGGTCATTTTGCGCGCACGTGCTTGCAAGAGCGCGCACGTGCAAAACTTGAAATGACAAATATATAATGGATATAACCGTAACTTTTCTATTTTTAGACGAAATGTTTTGAAACTCATAATGTAAGGATATGTGAGTAGTATGCACAAGATGACATGGTCAAAATAGCAAGATCGCACGTGCAAGCACGTGCGCTTCGCTCTGATTGGCTGAAACTAAAGTCTCAATATCTTTCTTGTTTTTTGATAAAATCATTTGAAATTTTGAACATAGTCATACATTAGGGAGATCTACAGCCCGTAATAAAAGAAATATCATGAAAGCATGTGCATGCACATGTGCTTGCAAGAGCTCGCACGTGCAACACGAGAAATGTCCAATATAATTGATACAGACGTAACTATTTAAATTATTGATGATATGCTTTAAAACTCATATTAGAAGTATATATTAGAAGCATAGACAAGATGACATGGTCAAAAAAGCAAGATCTCACGCGCATGCACGTGCGCTTCGCTCTGATTGGCTGAAACTAAAGTCTCAATATCTTTCTTGTTTTTTGACGAAATCCTTTGAAATTTTAAATATAGGCATGTATTAGGATATCCTACAATAAGATATATAGCAATTATTTTGAAAACGCGTGCATGCACGTGCGCTGCAATCTGATTGGCTTATGCTTAAAATAGCTATAACTCCCTTGGTTTTCAACCAAACAGGATGGGATTTGGAACATGGATAGATATAATGGACTTCTACAAGAAGACATGGTCACCATGCACATGCATACACATGCATGTACGTGCGCTGCAATCTGATTGGCTGAATCTTTGAACAGCTATAACTCCCTTGATTTTCAACCAAACGGGGTGGGATTTAGAACATAGATAGATGTAATGGACTTCTACAAGAAAGTATGGTCGCCATGCTCATGTGTGCATGTGCGTGCACGTGAAATTAGTTAAATCAAAAATACACTTGAATTAGCGTATTTTTTAATACGTTTGGATTAAATACTTTGATATTTAGTATATTAAAATCTATAGATTGTAAAGACAAGATTGTGTGGTCATTACGCACATGCATTCACATGCGCACATGTGCAATGCTAAAATTTGAATGAAATTGGTACACTTCTGGGTAAACGTTGTTAAAGTCTCAAATGCGTAGAGTCTGTCTTATTTAATGAAGCTTATAGGGAATATGGCACCAAAAGGGAGTTGGGGAGCGTTTGGGGAACATCTGTAACGGTCCCCGTTACAATTAGCACTAGTTGCTTTTATTATTAAATTTATCAATCAATTTTCAAAATAATAAATGTCATTTGTATGTTAAACTAATGATTCATGGGTTGTGTCATAAACTGTGATTCTTAATTTATTTCATGGTTCCTTTGCAAATTTGGTCGTGAAATAACCGTGAATATTAGGACTTCGCAAAAGCCTTAATTTGTGCCACAATTAAATTTGAAATGATGGAGAACCCTGTTTTCCTCTTCTCCTGGGTGAACTGAAAAGGTGATGAGCTACCTACATAGTCATGATGAACAAGGGACCTTCCAGAATTTTGAATTTCAAGACTTCTGGGTCAGGGGTACTGTAAAGGGTGGGGGAGGGGGCTTTTATGATTATGTACTGAAAATAAATTAATGCTTTAAAATTTGCTCATTGGTATTAATCAAACATTTAACATGAGCAAGGATACCTTCTCTAAAATTGTGAAATGAATAGCCTCTGGGTCAGGAGTTCCTGTGGGGTGGGGGCACTACTGATTATTGCTGAATATGACTGATTAGTTGAAATGCATTTTTATGTTCACCTACTCTGCCTATAGGTATGAAGTAACCTAGCTAAGCATGCTAAGTGTATAGTTATGGTGACCAATGGTATCTCTATCAAAATTGTGAATATCATGACCTCAGCTTTAAACCACAAACCAAATTCAATTGTTGGAAAGTTGATACATCAGATGTTCAGGTGACCTATAAGGCCCAAGGGCCTCTTGTTCTTGATCAGATATTTGGAATTCTGGAAAATTCATAACTGTCCTAACCTTTATGCAGTTTCACTTTTATCATATATTATAATGAAAAATATTACTGGGATATTAGTGAAATTCACACCCCAGCTTAACATTGAACAAAAAAAATATATCTTGAGTTAAGACATTGTTATGCTGATTATAGCTGCAGAATTGCAGCTCTCTGCTTGAGAAAATTTAGAAAGATAAAGCAGAGAGCTAGAGACCTAAGCTTAGTAAAAACACTCGATTTACACCACCGCTTTTTTGTCACTCACTTTGGGTATAATTACTTA